GCGTGTGCAGCATATGGTAAACAAGCCTGCTTGTGCAGCATTCGGTTAACAAACCTGCCTGTGCAGCATACGGTAAACAATCCTGCTTGTGCAGCATACGATAAACAACCCTGCCTGTGCAGCATACGGTAAACAAGCCTGCATGTGTAGCATACGGTAAAGAAGCCTGTCTGTGCAGCATACGGTAAACAAGCCTGCATGTGCAGCATACGGTAAACATGTCTGTCTGTGCAGCATACGGTAAAGAAGCCTGCATGTGCAGCATACGGTAAACAAGCCTGTATGTGCAGCATTCTGTAAACAATTCTACCTCTCTAGCATACAAAAAACAAGCTTCCATGTGCAGCATACGGTAAACAATCCTGTAAACAATGCTATTCGGGTGTACCGTAAACAAGTTAACTAGTATTGCAGCTGTTACAGGCCAAAGGAAAGAGGCAGGCGGCGTAAGAGGGATACCGATGTTCTCCTTCCAGAGGATTTAGGCGGCGCACACAAATCGTTGCGAAGGGTAATTCGACAAACCTAACTTCGAATCAATTGCGCCTCGGAATTCCTAGCGGACATGCGTCACTTTCATTTTCCGCTGTCGTAAGCTCGTGTGAACCAGTTTGCTTATGACCTGTTTTATTAATGAAAGATTAATAACGTACGTGTTTACACGGGCTTATTTTACCGCGGCTGTTGCGGTGTATTTCTTTGTGTGCTGATATAACGCAAACGCCCTATAGTTTTCTAGTTCTGCAACTTTTGCATTGGCGACTTGTTATATGACACCTCTCTCTCTCTCGCGCGCTCTCTCTCTCTCTCTCTCTCTCTCGCTCTCTCTCGCTCTGTCTCTGTCTCTGTCTCTGTCTCTCGCTCTCTGTCTCTCGCTCTCTGTCTCTCGCTCTCTCTCTCTCGCTCTCTCTCTCTCTCTCTCTCTCTCTCTCTGTTCTCTCTCTCTCTCTGCTCTCGTCTCTCTTCTCTCTTCTCTCTCTCTCTCTCTCTCTCTCTCTCTCTCTGCGTCTCTGCTCCTCTCTCGATCGCGCCTTCATCACTCTCTGTCTGTCTGTCTCTCTCTCTCTCTCTCTCTTCTCTTCTCTCTCTCTCTTCATCGTACATCCATCAGCGTCGTTTCGTGAGAGATGCGACACATAAATTCTGGCTGCCAATCTACGTTGTATTTCCAGATCCCGGTCGTTACAATCTGGCCAGCCGCTGGAGTGACCTGATCCACTGCGCCTTGGAATGCGGATTGCAGATTTGCGGATTCACTATTGTCTTCGGCCAGTCCGCCATCGCGATATTCGCATCACGCCTAGGCCTTGACGTTAATTTGACGCTGGTCGCATATGTGGGAGCTCGATAACCTCGCTTGCTACGACGTTTTTTACCTCGGCCTGGACACTGCGTCATCGGCCTGTTCCCCGCGTTCGGCGAAACATCAAAGCAGGGCGTTGGACGATGACAAGGAGCGTGCGGTTGGGGGGGGTCGGAATGTTGAGGGGCAGCAATGTGAGCGTTTACAATATCACCGCAAACAAGGTTTTGCGTCGCTGATGCTGCTGGCACGCGGAGCACGGATTTGTGCTTGGACCGTAAGCGCCGCAAACCTCTAATACACGATCGTTTCTTAAATTCTGCAGAATTGAAGCAAATTTGCGGTAGTAATAGACGCCGGCAGGCGGTGTTTGTGTGATTCTCTCTCATTCGCTCCCCTTACTGCACCTCATTGCAGTTTGGCTCCTCTTTTGCTATACCCCGCCCCTCTCCTGCCCGCACAGCTGCATCGCTCTCTCCGTTTGTATCGCCCCTCGCTTGGTTTCTCTCCCTGCCATCGCGCGCTCGCTTCTTGCCTCCTCCCACGCCTGGTCGCTCCATTCTGCTTCTCTCCTCTCTCTCTCTCTCTCTCTCTCTCTCTCTCTCTCTCTCTCTCTCTGCAACTGGCTCTCTCACGCCTCCCGCGGCGCTCGGGCGGA